TTGGCTGCCGACCCCGAACCCATTCTTTCAGGTCGTCTGGCGTGCCAATAGCAATGCTGATAAGTTTCGGGTGAAATGAATTGCCAACGAAGGACCTGATAGTGCGAGACGTTAGCAAGTAGCTAAATTTTTTGACGGTTGCAAAATTTTGGCTTAGGCCCGAGATCTGAAGGACTTCTTGATCTGTAAGGAATCTGAAGGGCATTTCGATACTAGGGTTGTGAAATAAAGGCAGGACATCTTGCAGGGCAAGATCTTTGTCTTTGTTAGAAGTGTTCGTAGCAAAGACACGGAGTAGATGCATCCAGGCCGGAATGTAAATCGGCGGGATGATTGTGTGCCATTGAAAGGCTGGAATACCTTTATCATCACTGAGATTTGCCAGAAATGCAAATCGGTCACGAGAGTGCCAATAGGAGACACGCCATAATAGGGCTGCTGGGTGGTAACTCGACCAACTGTAACGGAGAGCGAGGTCACTAATGGTTCTGATGGGACGCATAAAAGGCTGTATGGGGATTTCGCGCAGTGTGCCTCGTTCTTGAACAAGAAGAGGGCTCCAGTCGTTCGGCCAGGCAACATCAGCAGCATGGTGAACTTGTGATACCTAGGAGTCCCATTCCATGGTGCTGAGCCGCCTGCCTTTCGTTGACCTGAGTAGTTAGACAGTCCCAGACTGCTACCCGCGCAGTGGATCTGGATGAGTACAGCGTACAGAATTAGGAAAACGGCGTTTCACCTTGTCTCACTTCTTCACTAGTTCATGGGGCCCTGCATGGATTGACTGATCGCTCTGACCACGTTTGAATGGTACCGTCAGATGCTGTCAGATGATTAAACGAGGTCCTTGCAGCACGTGTCATGAGTTGCCTCTCCTTGAAGCACCTCACTTGGTTCATTTCGCTGAGCCGTTGATGAGCTGAGTTTGCATGGTGTGCTTCGTGTGTGACCTCCCCCCTCGGGGGAAGGGACGGGAGGTGCATGCCTCTTGACACTCCCTTTTGAACCCTGGTGGTCACCTCACACTGTCCTTCTCTCTCGGAGTTGTGGAAACTCCGGTTTTGATGCCTGCGGTTTTCCCAATCGTTGCCTACCAGGTTCCGCCTTCATTGCTGCCATCTGTCGTACCAGCTACCTGACTTAACGAGTCCAATTTTGAACCTTATGGACCATACCAATGCACTCGTGCGCACCCTTGAAGGTGCATCATGCTTTCGAGAAGAAGCTTTCCCATGCCGTGTTGCAAAGCCCACCTAATTCTCTTCTCGCAAAGTACCACTGGCGGCACAGTGATGCCCACTACCGCGAGAGTCTTACCTGGTCTCAACATGCTTGACTGTGCACACGCCCCTGCTTCTTCATTGCAATTCGTTGATGGACAAGAACTACTGAGTGCACTTCTGAATTCATCGCCCCTGTTTCACCCAGCTTCATGCCTCCATGGCCTTACAAGCTACTTTACAGGTTGCCCCTGCGTTTTGCGTGTTTTGCTTTTGGGGGTTTGTTGTTTGTTGGCTTGGTGTTTTCGTCGTTGGGTCTCTTCCTGTTGGTGGCAACCTGGTTTGTAGCTCCTTCTTAACTCGACTAAGGTGACTTGTGCAGAACCTGCACACACAGCGCCTCCACTCGTGCAAAAAAAGATGTGTGCAGCATAGGAGCCTTCTTGCTCCGCTGCTAAAGTTGTGTGTCCTTGCCGTAAGTAACATCCAAACAGTGAGATTGCTTGCAGAATTGCTGGATCTAGCAAAGGGCCGACACGTAGCCAGCGACAGAGACCTACCAGTAGGCGCTGTAGGAACCAATGTCGATTCAGAAGAAAGCCAGCCATTGCATGATGGAGTGGTTTGAGGAGGGTTGGCGAGAAGAAACGCTGGGTTTGCGCGTAGTAGAAGAGGCTCAGAGAAAAGGTGTTAAAGTAAATGATCTTCGCATGTTTACTGAGATTGGCCCGGTTGGCAGCTGCAAGTCTAGTTCGGAATTTAACAAGCTGTTTGGATAGCAGGTAAACATTCTACAACGCGTGCACTTCAAAGCAGCCGCGTGTGAGGCCGTGCGCCTTGGCGCTGACAGGGAGGCCCTCCAGCTATGGCGCGAAACAATCGCGTCGTGGCTGCGAGTGGTCGTGGCCCGCTGGCGCGAGGTTGAGTACGCCAACCCGCGTGACAAGGACAGGAAACGAGAGAGAGAGATCGATCAAGGTGCATCCTGCTATTCCATGGAATTGACAGTTTCAACATAGCCCCGGCTAATACAACGCATTCTCCACATTTGAAAGCAATTTCTGTCGATCCAGGAGAGGGAGCTGCATTGCCTTTTGGCCGTGGTCTTTGCTGCTTTAGTGGCAGGCACGGTGCTGCATCAGAGAAGGTGGGCATCGGCCATCCCAGAGTCGTTCACATGCAGCGTTCCAAGGTCTTTCGGCCGTAGGGGTTTGTTATCAGAGGCAAACGGAAGGGTAGCGCACAGAAAGGGATCTGCAAAATCCTATTCTACTAACATCGTGGAAGGCGTGGGACATTTATAGAACCCAAGGCTCTTCGTGGACAGTTCGTGGAATGGTGGGCCAGCAGGAGAACTGACTGCGACGAGCTTCCAGAAACCTTCGCAGAACTTCGTGCAAGGTATTTTTGATGCAGTAACTTCGTATGAGCGATTTTTGCTGACCCCCTGTCTCCACACACCCTCCATTTAGCCTGTATGTTCTGCCGTGCTCACCATGGAGCCAAGGAAACGGAACTTCTCAGAACACTTGAAGACACCAAGACACAGCAAACAGCCCTTCTGGCTGGTGTGGAGCCCTTCATCTCTAGCGGCATGCTGCGGAGGGAAAGTCGGGTTCTTCGGTTTGGGAGACAACATGGCACTTGTGTTGTCTCGCAAAGAAGGACAATGCATTCATAATGATGTTGATGGCGAAAGTCAACTCCGTGAGGGCTCTAGCACTGCCAGGCCAAGGTGGCAAGGATGATGCAACATAATCCTTGGCGGCCTTGGCCTTGCACTGTATAGTATATGACCACTCATGCGCGACCAATGGAAATTATATATTTGAAACGCCGATTTTCATTTTTTGGTTCTGTGTGGTTTCTATCAGAGCACACCTGGGACATTGTGGGGATTGGAACAACTCCTTGAACAGGGAGGCTCCGCTTTCAATGAGTCAATAATGAATAATGTTCCCGGCGCCGCGTTGCCTCTACCACAATTGTGCACTGCAAAACCTGTGCGATCGTTTTGGCTGTATGTCACCCAAAGCCCACAAATCGATGGGTGAGAATTGACATGAACGAGCGCCACAATGTCAGGCCATAGTGCAAGCGTGCACTGCAATCTTGCAAGGACTAGGCGCTGACATCTTTTGGAAACGCTAGCTTTTTGTGTGATTGTTGCAAATTCAGCAGCAGTCAGGTGATTCCATCTCTTTCGTGTGACCAGCTGCAAACGAAGCAAAATACAACAAAAACATTTCTGAGCTGGTGTGGAGGGACTGTCGGGTTGTTCGGTTTGGGAGACAACATTGCGCTTGTGTTGTCTCGCTGATTCAACGGGCCAACACAAAGAAGGACAGTTCATTCATAAATGATATTGATGGTGAAAGTCAACTCTGTGAGGGCTCAAGGGCCCTGAGGGTTCTGCCAGACCTTGTTCTTTTCCGGGAATGAATGATGAAGGGGGAAGGAATGGTGGGAACAGGCGCTTTGATAGAGCGCATGTTCGTGCATGATCAGAGTAGGCTGTGACACGTTGGTTCTGGGTCAAGTGTCGGATCCCCTTTGATCCACTGAAATCCAGACAAATCTAAAGTTGTGTTTTAAACTTTTCGTACTTTTTTACAAACAAATATCGTGGAACACTTTTGTCTCATTTTTGAGTACCAACACAATTTTTTTTAAACATGAAAAGTAGACAGCACCATTTCCACCTAAGCTCCAAAACACCAACCCAATACCCCATATTCAGACCGATGGTGACACACTTTCACTTGCAGTGTCTAGGACTTGCCCCGCAGTTTGCTGAATCCATCCGAACATTTAGGGGGGTAGAGCCATTGCAAGTTCCACTGTTGGCAAGACGCCCCCGTCCGGAACTTTTGGCGTCGAGCTCGGATCCGCCTGCAGCAGTTTTGGGGGGGCACGGATCATGCAGATGTCTCAACAGGGGCCCCTTAAACATGTAGTCATTTTCATTATCAGCGTACTTTTTATTATTCTGACAACCTTTTTCTGATCGGTTCGTTCACATTAAAGTTGCGAATGCGGAATCCAATCCACGAGACCCCTTCTGAGCATTGAACCCTCCACAAAAGGGCGGCGTGTCTGTGTGTGTGTGTGTAAAGCGCTATCGCAGGCCGCGTGAGACTTCAGAGTATGCTTTGTTGATCTTTGTTGGAACATCGCTGTTTCCGCATGTGACAATCAGGAGGGACACAACATTCAACGAAGTTACCAGTGAAATGGGAAATCCAGCTTGGACGTACTTCCAGCATTTGTTCCTGAAGCTCCACGTCTTCAAGCCGCTTAAGGATACGATGGTGTTCCAATGTTTGTTCTTCCCCTCGATGCTAGGCAATGGACTTAGGAGGCCATGGGTTACGACATTTTTCGTCGGAAAAGGGGGAAAGTGTTCCCTAACTGTATGAGTGCAATGACACCTTTACTTTTAACAGTTTAAATGACAGTTGTGTTAGCTGAAAAAGAGGCAACCATGTCAAACATGCCAATGACGGAAGAGCAACTGCAGCCTTGATCGGATGTGTGTGACGTGGCGTGTTCAACTTTATCGCACATCGAATTTTGTGTATTGTGTGTAGGGTTCACTGTTTGTTAAAACAGGCCAGATTATTTGGGAGTGATATGGTGCATCAACGCTGGCAAAAATGTGGTTGTTGTCGAGGCATGATGTACACACATTTGTTGACAATCAACTTTTGTTTGCGCAGGTTTTTTGCAAGCATGCACGCTGGTCCACGCCGTGTCCAAACAACACATTTTGGATGGAGTAGCTGTTGGGCTGCAGATCTGGGGTCGATTGCTGCGGACACCAATATGGTCTTGCAACCGCGGCGTTTGAGCCTTGCCATGGTGGCCGTGATGTATGGGTTCCATATTTCCGGAGGCCAGGTTTGCTGTTTGCAATGTGCGGAATGCATGCGTTTCAGCCGCGCAGTTGAGGCTTTTTGGAAAGCCTTTTTATTTCGCCTCTTGCTGATGTTCAAGCAGATTCTCCACTTCAGGTCGGGTGAAACAGTTGTACGTGCGTTTTGTATTGTTTCGCCCTAGCGTCATGGCTTGCGGACATTCACAACAGCAGGGTTCAGCAAGGTTTATAAAATTTTGGCCCAGTTGCCCTGGAGATTCTGATTCTGGGGTTGAAAAAGCGGCCAGGTCCTGTGCAAATCTCACAAACAATGTTACGTTTCCTTCCACTGCGACTGACATATTGAATATGTGTTCTTCAGCACATATTTTTCAGACAAGAAAATAGTTGCTCAATACGGAAGGGGGGCGTCAACCCATCAACAACAAGGCGCAAATGCATCAAAGCAGAAAGACGGATCGCGAATCGTCGCGATGTCTTGTCCATGGGGAACGTGCACAGTATGGGATAATCAAACCTTCAATATCATGGACCAGCACCCTCAACCAGTCACTGAAATTCAATTGGCGCACAAATTCATGCCATGTTGCGCTGAACCACTGTCCGTTTTGTTTGCATACAACTTGTCCAAACTAAAGGACGCAGAGCGACCAATACCAAATCCAATCTTTATATATGTCAATGTAAGGACTTGCATTCATATGTCATGTGTTGTATGTCACTCCACTCTTGTTGAATGATGGCGACGAAGTTGACATTGCTCTGACAGTAGGTGAAACCCTTGCCCTGAGATCCAATGAAACCAGATGTTCCGAACAACATGAACAGACCTCCAAGATGCCACTAGTTTGCAACAGAAGAAAGCGTCAATGCCTCAAGGTTTTGAGCGCACACAAGGTTCTTAGAGCAAAATCAACTGCATTCAATGATTTGCAGGACCTGCGAGTTTCTCGGCCAGACTGATGCTCTGAATTTTGTTAAACTGTCCAGTTACAGTTTTGACTCACGTGAGTTATATAACTAGCACAGCTGGAAGATATACTTATTCAATTAGTGTGCAAGCCGGGGTTGTGCCATCCAAAACAATCTACTTTGTGTAAACACTTGCCTGTTTGCAGTCGGTTTTGAATCATTGCCATTGCATAAACGGCATAAACAGTCGCTTTTGGAATTCGCGTTCGACTTGGAGGCATCGTCCATCCTTGCTGGGAGATTTGGTTCCCCACAACGCGCAATTCGGGTGGGAACCCCTGATAAATGCAGCGTTTGTGAGTGAGGGGTCCAATCATTGCAGCTGATCCGTTGCTTTTTTTCAACCCATTGAACAGAAGCAGAAGCGATTGAAGATGTTTCCTTACAGACCCAAGGCTCAAGAGGGGCACAGAGTACACGTTTGCAGTTGCTCAGGTCTGGATGAAAGCAGGTGCGGAGGAGGAAGGACTTCAATCTGCCATAAAAAATGGCAACCCAGATCGGATCATGAAAGCCATTGATGCGCTTCCAGATGCCCCGAAAAAGGCCATGTCAATGGTCGAGGGCGACTGGCAGGCAGGATAGTTGGTCCTTTTGTTATATGAGTACAAACTTGGTGTTAAATATATATATATATAGTATACGTATCACAAATCACAAAGTTTGTAAATTGTATCTGATCTAGATACCAGTGAACAAAAAAGCATAGACACACACAGTGGATGCATGTTTCTAGGATTCTGTGCACCACTGTTTCCTTTTTGAGTGTTTCACCTATGAGTAGGCTTGTTAAGAGTGTCATCAAGTGTGCAGACACTGCTGGTGACGTGATAGATCGCGGCTTCAGACCACGTGGCTGCTGTGTGAATGGTTGAGCTTTCTAAGTTGTTGCACCAATTGCGAGGTCATTTGGGACAGCAATAGTCTCGGGCCCACGAAAAAGACACTCCTGAAGCTGGTGTGCGACCAGCTCCCCAACACCATGGTGGAGTTTTACAGGCAGTACAATCTGATCCAAGACGGGAAGTATTACTGGCTGATGGCTTTTACAATGGTCCCTCAGCAGCACATTGTTACTTTGCGATTAAATGCCGCTTTAGCTGGCCCTCGGAGTACCAAAAGAACCAACCAACCAAGCAAGAAAACAAAGAAGCCGTGAACAGGGTTACAGTGAAAGAGCACACACACAGATATATATATATATATATTTGTATATATGGTACCCCCCCCGTCAATTCTGTTGGGGTGCATGTCACATGTTCACCAAAAGCCGGTGATCCTCGTCTCGGCCCAAAGCTGGGAAGGGTGGGTGGCTTGTCCATTTTGCACCAGGAGGTGCATTCGTTGAGCGTGGGACGCTGGTTGTTGTGAAAAGGAGCTTGCAGCTACGGTGGCAAGGTGCAGGGCACCTGCAGGGATATCCACTTGTTGATTTGGACAGGGACCCATACCCAATTTGGTGCTGGAATTGAGTTGTTTGCATTGCAGTTATTTTGAGAGCCCTCAACCGGAAGAGTCCAATACCAGTTGCAAACCTTGGCGGTTTGTAATTAGCGGAGCTACCTGGGCGATCAAACAGGGAGGATCTCGACAAGATCCACAGGGCTGTTGAACGATGCCTGAATCAGCAGGGTCAACGACCATAGATGTTGGGACCTCAACCAACAATCAGTTGGCATCATTGATCCCCACCTTTGATCCCGCAACAGACAGCGTCGAGCAGTGGACCCAGAAAATCGAGCTCCTCACACAGGTGTGGCCAGAAGGTCATCTTGGCGAACTCGCCACAAGGATCGTTTTGAATTGCAAAGGAACGGCATTCGCCAAACTCCAGTTGAGGAAGAAAGAACTTCTTGGAGGGACAGTTGAGTGCATTTCCAAGATGGTGGAGCTTGTGGGAGGCCAATTCGGCCGTGTGAATCTGGAACAAAAATTCGAAGTCGTCGAAAAGGCCCTCTTCCGCTGCAACCAGAAGGTTGATGAATCATCAGATTCCTACCCGGCTCGGGCAGAAGTTATGTGGACAGAACTGATGAAAAAGGTGAACATGGCAGAGGTGCAAGCGTATATTACCCTCCGCGGCAGCAGGCTGTCGATGGAAGATAAGAAGAGGGTCCTTGTTGAAGCCGGCGCTGAAAGAGAAGACAGCGAACTGGAGATGAAGCGGGTGTCCGCAGCTATCAGGATGCTTGGATCGAGCTTTTTCCAAGAATATACTTCAGGAAAACGCGACAAGAACCTCCGCACCTACGACCACATGGCCTTTGGGTCCATTGAAGAACATGAAGAACAAGGGGAAGACTTTCATGGCACTATGATGATCCCATGGACGAGGAAGCCATCGAGGCCTTAGCTGCCGAGGACGATGACGCTTCCTTGGTGATCCAATTCGAGAACGCCATCCTCGATACAGTGCAGGAGGACAAGGACTTAGCCACCTTTTTGGTGAGCTATCAGGACGCCCGTCGTCGGTTGCAGGAGAAATCCTCTAGAGGTTTCTGGCCCCCGAAACCTTTCAAAGGGGGTAAGAAGGGGAAAGAAAAAGGGTTCAAGGGCAGATCTAAGGGTTTGGCTCAACGCGTCGCCAACTCATCATGCCGCCTATGTGGCCAGCCTGGCCATTGGAACGCAGAATGCCCTACCCGTCGCAACACGGCCAGCAGTGATTCGAACCAGATTCCAACATCCGTGGTGGTGAACTTGGAGTCACGCCTACAGGAGATACCCACGGCCAACGCCGAAACCAACGCCGAAACTCAGGATTTCGCCGAAGAAACATGTTTTGCAGTTTTAAACGCCTAACCGTGCCTAACCACCGATTTCGAGATCGACTGAAAACAAAATTGTGGCAACTGCTTGAACTAAGGAAGAAGTCAGTCGAGCCAGCGCTTGATCGGCGCCTGATTTTGAAGGATGAACCCCTTGAGCCTGTCGCCGAATGGTCAGCCACCGAAAGAAGCAATTCGAGTGCCTTTTTGAAAACAATCCAAGCCGTCATCGATACAGACCAAGGCACACTAGGGAGTAAATACCTCGGTGGATTCTTGCAGACCACTCGATCACCCTCGAATTTGATGTTACTGGATATCAATGAGCTTTGGCAAGAGGACGTGTCGCATGTCCAAAATGAGCCACACGCCTCCGACACGTCGTTCAAGAAAACAGAAAAGTTTTTTTCCAAATCGTTGAGGCCAGAGTCAATTCGAGTCAAGACCAACCATTTCGAAAGTGTAAATAGATCAGAAGAAGTCTCCAGGACATGTAAGTCGCCTCATCCAGCACTTCAATTCTCAAGCCCGGCCGGTTTCCGATTTGTTGAAGTCACGTGATCATGTCCAGCCTCAACCAGAAGCTAGCCACTTTTCAAGAAGTGGTCAAGAAGGAACAAGACCAGGACGGCCTCCAAGAAGTGGATCAAGCTGAGCGATTTCAAGGAAATGAAAATCGCATTCGGCAAGGCCAAGCTTGGCCTCCCGTTCGAGGAAGCCTTCAACGACCGGAAATGGACCAAGTGGTTTAGCTGGAACATGTGAAGTTCCTCCGGTATGAACCTCCGAGTGTCAGAAGGAACGACCTCGATATGCCATCCAGCAGTCAGACAAATCCCTACCTGCGCCCTTCTGCACAGGTGCCTCAGGCTTCCCAGATGGCCTGTGGAATCGGACCCTTCAGACATGGAAGAACTCCAGCTCGAGGAGATCTTGGCACACCAGAGCAGCGGGATCTCAGGATGAGCAGGATCGAGTCAGCCCTGACTCAGACCATCCAGCGCCTTGAACCGAAGAACGAAGTCCAACAAGCTCCGATTCGATCGTGGACGATGGTCAAGGAGGAGCCCAACTGAGCCCGGGCAAGATTGAACAATTCGCACTCGAGCTGAGGCACAATGCTTTCTAGGAGACCCTGAATACGATTTTGAGTTCCAGAAAGATATGCAACCCGTATACTCCCGAATGTGTTCCAAATACCTCAAGCAATAATACCAAGAAGAATTCAATCATATCGTTCAAATCGGCAGAGTGTTCCTGTTCGAAGTGATGTGCTCCAAAGAAAGCGAACTCACTCGCCAAAGCCTCCAACAGGGACTCGTTGCCAAAAGATTTGGCTTCTCAGAAGAAGGAGATTTGAGCACCACAGTTGGTCGCAGAAGTTTGTTTTGCCATCTTGCTCGTGATCAGCCAGAGAACCTGTGGATCAGTCCAACATGCGGACCCTGGTGCCACTGGTCCCATCTCAATATGAGCAAAAGCGCTGAACACTCCAGAAAAGAAAAAGCAACATTTGGCAGATCAGTTTGGCAATCTTTTTTGTGTAGCCATCAGCTGTCTCTCAACAAACACTTTCACTGTGAACAACCACATGGATCTAACATGCTCTCGCAATTCGAGAAAGCACGAAGTCAAGCACTTTTGACCTTTGCAGCGTCGGCAATCTCCGAGAGCCAGTCGCTCAAAGACCAATTCGTAAACGACTTACTGCATGCACAACCTCAAAGAACTCCACTGGAAGCTCCATAAACGAACATGCAAATCCGACCATCAGTGTTTCCAAATAGCAGGTTCGACACATTAGATGGAAACAGCGTTGCAGTCTCTCAATACACTGAACTGTACCCACGGAAGTTAGACAGATCATTCAGTGTCTTCGTAAAGAACTGACTGGGCCCTGGGGAATTTCCACTGCCGAAGAGGAGATCCATCCTCATCCTTCCAAGCGTCGCCGGCTAGATCAGAAGACCAGCGTGGCCAAGGCTCTCCTTCTCGCCAACCCAACATGGGATGAAACCATGAAAGCTGCCGATGAAGATGTCCCCAGGGTAGGACTGAAGATAGTAACCGAAGGAGCTCTCCTAGAAGCCATCCGACTCAAGTGCCCCGACCAGATCGTCCATCACCTTGTTCTTTGACGCGGCGTGGATAGAATGATGGTAGGACCAAACATTAGAATAGCTGAGGGGGTAGCTCCTCTCCGGAAGTTCACATGCGTCCGTAGGAGATTTGAAGATGTTCTCGTGGACGATCAATGGGAGCGTTGGGAAAGGCTGTCCGCTAGGAAAACGCGAAGAAAGTGCGCTCCATCTCGCTGTGGCCTGACCATCTTTGCTCGATCAAGAATTCCCGAAGACCCAGGTTCTTCCATGTTGAAAAGAAATGCAGCTATCGAAGCAGCACCAAGACCCAAAAAGGTAATCCGAATAGAGGAAGGGGAACCTGATGTCTCCACAATCCGAGCAAGCCTGGAAGAGACAGGCCCGCCGAGTCCTCAGCCAGGTTCGTCTCAGAACCCAGAAACGAGCTTGTGAACCAATGGACATGTCGAAAGAAGAGAATGCTGAACAGAGACAAATCCTAGATCTGATATCCGATAAACATGGTCCCAGAATGTTGCCGGTACCGACCGAAGAACGAGCGTGGCCTTTGGAGGTTCATAAAAACATGGGACATCCAAATCCAACCAAACTCAAGACATTTTGTCAACAACTGGATTGCAGACAAGAAATGATCGAGGCCATCGATGATCTGAATGTTCGACGTGCGTAGAATCCAAGGGGCCGGAACTCGCAAAACCTAGCTCAATCCATACCAACCTCGACTTTGGAGATGTTGTTAGCATGGACGGAGTGAAATGGACAAATCAAGAAGGTCAACAGTTCTTCTTCTACCGCTTCATAGACCAAGGGACCACCTTCCATACTGCAACAACATCCAAGTCATTCAACCGCAGATGCCATCAGAGCACTTGTAAGTGGGTGGATCAATTGGGGAGGACCACCAGGTTTGCTTGTCGTCGACGCAGGAACCGAGTTTGGAACAGAACAGTTTCACAAATTCTTGCAAGAACGTGACATCAAACTTCGTATGATAGCTCCGGAAGCTCATTGGCAGAATGCGCGGAATGAACGCCATGGAGGCATTCTCCAGTCCATTTTAGATAAGATGGACAAAGAAAAAGCCGTGGAAGAACTTGTCATTGCCCTGTCGTTTGCAACACAGACCAAAAACCGTTGGTCTAGGTAATTAAAAAGGATATCCACCAGAACTCTTAGTTTTTGGT